AGGGGATGGGAGAAGGGAGGGTGAGGAAGTGGCCGGGGCTCATACCGCAGTCTCCCCTTTGCTGCTATGGCTAAGTCTGTGGTAGAAGCGGCGCCAGGACTGTAGGGTCTTTCCGGACCAGATCCAGAAGCCAGTGGTGATGCCCACGATCATGGTCATCAGGTACTTGATCATGAAGACTGTGAAGTCTGGGCTCATGGGCGGGAAATGGCCGGGAGGGCAGGGCACGGCGTAGCTCTTGCACGTCTGCAGGAGCCAGGTGCGCTCCCAGTGTTCACGGAAGGCCTGCTCGTAGAAGTAGCAAGCCAGAACGATGGTGGCGGGCACGGTGTAGAGCACGCTGAAGACGCCGATGCGCACCATGAGCTTCTCCAGCTTCTCCGTCTTGGTGCCGTCGTGCTTCATGATGGTGCGGATGCGGGAGAGCGACACGAAGCCAGCCAGCAGGAAGGACGTGCCGATGAAGAGGTAGACGAACAGGGGCGCCAGCACGAAGCCCCGCAGCGCATCCACGCTGGACAGGCCCACGTAGCACACTCCACTGAGGAGGTCCCCGTCCACCTGGCCCATGGCTAGGATGGTGATGGTCTTGACGGCGGGCACCGCCCATGCGGCCAGGTGGAAGTACTGCGAGTTGGCCTCGATGGCCTCGTGGCCCCACTTCATGCCGGCCGCCAGAAACCAAGTGAGCGACAGGATGACCCACCAGATGGAACTAGCCATGCCGAAGAAGTACAGTACCATGAAGAGGATGGTGCAGCCCTCCTTCTTGGTGCCCTGCGCCACCGTGCGGTAGCCGTCGTCGGAGAAGCGCTCCACGCACACGGCGCGGTCCTCCAGCAGGAAGCCGGCCACGTGCGCCACGGCCACCATGAAGTAGCAGCCCGACAGGAAAATGATGGGCCGCTCGGGGTAACTGAAGCGCCTCATGTCCACTAGGTAGGTGAGAACGGTGAAGAGCGTGGAAGCGCAGCACAGCACGGACCACACACCCACCCAGAGGCGGGCGAAGCGCCTCTCCTCTTCCTTAAAGTACATGAGGCCGTTGGCGCGGCCCGGCTCGCACGGGGCGCCGCAGTCGCGCTCGCCCAAGAAGCGATAGCCCAGGTAAGGGGGCACCTTGAGCTGGCGCGGGCACGAGAAGGGAAAGGCGGAACGGACCCTGCCGTCAGCGGCCCCCGGGGGTACCGCGGTGAAGGGCAGGTCGGGCATGTAGGGCGCAGTGGGGTAAGCCGTAGGGCCGCCGCCTGGGCCCCCGGAGCCGTCGGACGTGTTCTGGCCCACGCAGATCTCGCCGGCGCCGTGCACCGGGAAGTTCTCGCAACGCAGCCGCTCCGGCCACTGGAAGCCGAACTTGTTCATGAGCGCTTCACAGCCCTGGCGGGCACGCTCACACAGAGAGCGGCACGGCGGGATGGCCTTATCCAGAACGGTGCACACGGGTGCGTACATGGAGCACAGGAAGAAACGCAGCTCGGGAGAACACTGCACCTTCACCAGCGGGTAGAACTGATGCACCTCGAGGCCCGCATCCTCTTGGTTCGTGTGACCCAGCAGGTTGGGCAGGATAGTCTGATTGTAGGCGATGTCCGTGCACAGCGGGATGGAGATGAGCTGACAGAAGCCGTGGTCCGGCACCGAGATGCCCTTCTCACCGTGATACGGCTGCGCCCCGGTGATCGCGGGCAGCGCTCCCAGCAGCGTAAACACCAGGGTGCATAGGCCCACCCGCAAGCGCGACGCGGCCGCGCCGGGGCCCCGCATCGCCGGCCGCGAGTGCAGCGGCGCTCTCAGCCGGAGGAGCTCG